TGAACCATTGGGCAGCAGGTGTTGTCCCTGTATTTTGATTAGTCTCACAGTGAAAAGCCAAACAACTGAAATACCTATCTGCAAGACCTATAATAGCCTGTAACAGCATGCTTGACACAAATAACTCCATTTTGTAATAAATCTTCCATCTTTACCTAGAAATGAATCCCTTATGCAACCTTCCTGTAATCACATCACACACCCACATTCCTGTTCTCCTTGGTACTTGGAAACTCCCTAGTTGCAAATTCTGTAACTAATCTATCCAGTGTTTTGCCAAGAAAATATAGATCAAACTGCACAGCTTATGTAATTTTTGCCTTTATATACCCTCTACTTATTCTGTTCGGGGCCAAGAACCTTTATAACAATAGTCTCTCTCTGTTGCTGGCTTAAATAAAGGACTCATAATTCGACCCTCAATGTGTTGGTGTCTCCTGTCTCACACTCCGAGCATAACACAACCATAAAAAAATTCCATTAATCTAATGACATTGTAGAAATTAACAAATGGATAAAAATTATTAATGGCTTTAAACTGTACCAATAATAGTACCAAGATTCTATAAAATGAAGGATTGACTATAACTACTTAGTTGTCAAATATACTTCAGCAAATAGATTTAAATTATACTAAAAATGCCAAGTGCACATGGTGATGACCAGCCGACATAGAAAATCCAATAACTTATACGTATTCAGCCCCAGATTAGTCAGATTATGACTTTTTATGTGAGGATTTAGGTGTCTCACCATCATTGCCTTCCTCTCCTCTTCACAATCTTTATCTGTCTGCTGTTCCAGTGCCTCTTTTCTTATCATTTCGAAATTGTTCCCGTTCCCACTACTGTGCTGGGACCCAGTCATCTTCTCTCCAGTCACTGTCTGTGTCCGAGTGTCACTCTCCACCGCAGCCCTCTGCCCCATGACTTCCTGGACCTGCCTTTCCTTCCTCCTCTTCCTCCTTCTCCTCATCACTGGCTGTCTTCTCCTCACTGTCGGACTTCTGGTGCTTTTTCATTTTTGGTTTCTCATTTTTCTTTGAGTCTGCTTTTGGTCCCTTGTATTCATGTGTGTACAGGGGCCTGAAGGAGTCTATGAAGCCCACGTCACCAGTCAGGTTTGGCAAGAACCAGAAGTGGTGCCTTCCCCTGGTGATGAGCCAGATGATGAGAAGCCTTATGCAACGAGCAACAGCAGGGAGAAGAATACTGGTTACAAAACAGCCTGCACCCACACTGAGGTAATAAATACCTACTCTCATTTCTACTGACCAGAGAGGAAAGAAAGTGGCCACTGTTACTGAAATCACAAGAATTATCCCAATGACAAATATTTTAAAGTGAACTGGGTCATAGATTCACGCATATACCTCATTTCCATCCCGAAAAACTTGGTCATCATGTGGTCCAAATTTGACCTTTTCTTAGTTTCCTTCTTTTGGAGAGTTCCTTCATTTTGGATCCTTCCTTTTCGGCATCTTTTTTTTCCCTTTTTCCTTTTTTTGCCCTTTCATCTTTTATATTTTCTTGCTTGCTCTTTTTATCTTCTTCTTTTCCACTTTCAGCTTTTCCTTTATCTTTTTCTTTCTTTATGTCTTTATCATATTTCATTTTCATTACTTTCAGTGCCTGGTGAAAAAACTGCTTCTTTAAAAGCCTGTTGTAGTAGTCAACCAAGATTCTCTGGTTGTCAATAAAGCTTCTTCTCCTTTCTTGGCCTTTGCCCACTTTGAATCAAAAGGCAATCCACTGCTTTTGAATCAATAAAATAACCAACCTGGTGATCCTTCATATTGGTGGACTTTGTTGGATTGAAGATACTTGGCTACAGCCTTCGCTTCTTTAGATGGTTCACCAGCATCCTGGACCCAATTCTTCTGCCTTCGCTCTACCATGTAGGCTGCTCTGCCCGGGCCATGACATAGACCCTGCATTTTCTAAAATTTTTTATAGTTTGAGGTTTTACATTTAGGTCTTTGATCTATTTAGAGCTGATTTTTGTGTATAGTGAAAGGTAGGTGTCCTGTTTCATTCTTCTGCATGTGGTCAGCCAGTTTTCCTAGCACAATTTACTGAATAGATTCTCTTCTTCCCAGTGGTTGTTGGTGGAGTCTTTGTCGAAGATGAGTTGGTGGAGAAATTGAGGTTTTACTTCCAGAACCTCTGTCCTGTTTCATTGGTCTATATGCCTGTTCTTGTACCAATACAGGCTGTTTTGATTATTGTAGGCTTATAAGAAAGCTTAAAGTCTGGAACTGTGATACCTCCCACTTTGTTTCTTTTTTGAGGAGTGTTTTGGCTCTTTGTGGTTGTTTATGGTTCTATATGAATTTCTGTATTGTTATTTCCAGGTCTGAGAAGAATGATGTTGGTAATTTGTTTGTTTGTTTTTTGTTTATTTATTTGAATTGTACTCTCACTCTGTTGCCGGGGCTGGAGTTCAGTGGCATGCTCATGGCCACTACAGCCTCAACCTGCTGGGCTCAGATGATCCCTTCCACCTCAGCCCTTACAAGTAGCTGGAACTAAGCACGTGTCACCATGCCTGGCTAATTTTTTGATTTTGTTGAAAATCAAAAGGTCTCCCCAAGATGCCCAGGTTGGTCTTGAACCCGTGGGTTCAGGTACTCGGATTCCCAAAGTGCTGAGATTACAGGCATGAGCCACCATGTCCATCTGATGTTGGTAATTTAATGGATATTGTGTTGAATCTGTAGTTGCCTTGGTTAGGATGGACATCTTAACAATGTTGATTCTTCCTATCCATGAACATGGAATATTTTCCCATTTGTTTGTGTCTTCTTTGATTTCTTTGAGCACTTTTCACAGTCCCTAACACAATCTAGCTCCAAAAATTTTTGGTAAAATTAATCAAATCTCCTAAATAAACCAGTGGTTTACATCATCTAAGAGTACCTATGCTTGTCAAACAGGGGTCAACCACTCCAGCTGCATTCACTGTTAGTAACTCCTGTTCTAAATTGTTAAAGTTCACTATCTCTTCATCTCCTATCACACCATTTTCTCTGCAGAGGAAAAGCCAGCAGCCATGTCTCTCAGAACCTTTTCCCTGTATAGTTCTGGCTCATGTTTGTTTTTTTTTTTCCCATGGGTGAGACTTGTATGAGATAGGAAGGGATGGAGGGACGGGCCCGGACCCATCAGGGGTGGTTTCAGGCAGATATGAAATTTCAGTGGCTGGAGACCCACTTGTTTTGCCTGGGCAGACCGAGATGAGTGGTGGGAGTTTTCTCAGAGGTTCTGGAGAATTACAGCAATCTCCCAGCAGGATTTCAGGAACCATCAGCGCTTCAGGGTGAGAGCTTCAGCATATACTTCTCTGGCCCCCCACCTGCAGTGTCAAAGAATTCCGGTGGTGATGGGTGTCATTATCCTGTTGTTTCTGTACAAGTTACCACAACCAAATGGCTTAAAACAACACAAATTTATTATGTTACAGATCTAGAATTCAGAAGAGTGAAATGGGTCTCTCTGGGATAAAATCAAGGTGTTGTCAGGGTTGTCTTCCTTTTGGGCTCCAAGGAAAAAGAATATGACTTTGCCTTCTCCAGCTTCTCAGCCTTCCTGCATTCTTCAGCTTGTTTTCTCTTCCTCCATCCTGCAAGGGAAAAAATCACATAACTTTGAACTCTGGTTCTGTTGTCACATTTTTTTCTTTAACTCTGGCTCTGCTGTCTCCTTCTTCCATTTATTGTGGAATTGGACCTGCCTGGATAATCCAGGATCATCTTTTCATTTCAAGAGCCTCAACTTAATCACACCTGAAAAGTTTATTTTGCCATATTAGGTGACCTTGCCACAGGTTCCAGGGACTAGGACCTGGACATCCATGGGAGACCATTATTCTTTCTATCACATGATTTCACCAATATGTGTCCCTCTCTCCTCCAGATTTTCCAACTTTAGTATAGGCTCCTATTCCTATATTAAACACTTCCTTTCTGAGATACCAGAGTGAGTCTGTTTCCTGGAGAAACCAATGTTGATACATCTCCCTACCTGAGAAGAGCAAAAACATTGTTTGTTATGTTAAAGTCTCCAAATGGGCAGTGGCTATAAATTAGTTGTTTGATTCAGCAAGTGTTCATTGTACGTTTATTTGCATATCATATATGCTTGGTATTTATTCCTATGTTCTTTCATGTATGTGTGTTCTGCTTTCCATATTAAACTGGGAAGTTCTTGTGGGACAGAGATTTGTCTTCTTTGCCTTCTGGACCCCAAATATTCACAAGTCAGGATTGCCCACATTTATTAATGTTTGTTAACCAATGCCAGACAGAGGATACCAAATGACAACGATAAAGTGTGATTTGTACCTATGTCACCACTCTGGAACTATCTGTACTGATCCTCAAGGAGACTGAGCTATGTGGACAGAGTAAATGGCAGAAATAATCCCTCTCCCTGGTAGAGAGCTCCTAGTGTCGTTTAGGAGCAAAGACAAACACATAAGAAACCATTTGGAAGCGATACAGATTACCAAAGTTCATTATGACCAAAAGTTGGAAGTGGAGATTAGGTTGGGAGAGATATACTCAGATCCCTCTGGAGCTCTTCCTCTCACATTGTGACCCTCAGTTTTTCCTATGTCTATATCTATAGATGTGAATCTTTTGGGAGGAGTGGGAACCTTTTGCCTTCAGTACCAGTGATTACCAGGACTAACATTGTTTTCTTTTCTCCTTCCTTCTAGGATGTCAAATATACCCTGGAAAAGTGAGTGATTCTGGAATCTCTTTGAGCAAGCTAGGCTTTAGTTAAGATGAGAGGCCCAGTAAGAATTTGGAGTAAGGATGGGAAAGTTATGCAGTGTCTGGGCAGGGTATGGGAGAAGATTCATTGAACCTATGGAACTAGGTGAAGGACAAATTATTGGAAGTAATAATCCTTTACCTTTTCCCCTTTGAGCATCAGAATTTGTTGGCAAGGAGGATGACAAGGTAGAACAAGATTTTACTTGTGTCTTTGTGTGGAATTGTGTTCAAACAAAATGTCAGGAGTAAGGAATTGGGAGAGCTGAGAGGGTAATTATGCATTTACATAAATGATAAGAATACCCCTACAAAATTCTGAGGCTCATTCTCAAGATAAGAATCTGCTGAGGATATCATATGGCTCTCCTTAGATTAATAGAATAAAGCAATATGTGAGCTCTTGACTTCAGGGAGGAGAGAGAAAGAGAGAAATGGAGAATATTAGTTTCTCCCTAAAGATGATAACATCTGAATACTCTCTTGACTGGAGCTTCCCTCTGACCCTGTCCTTCCTGCCGTGTCTTCATATCCCTCCTAGATGTGAAAAGGTGAAGACTATAAAAGTGACTTCGGGGTTCATAGAGCTGGAAAAGGTCTTCAGCAATTTACCTTGTCAATATGTTGTCCTAAGGAAAATTCTTAAACAGCTAATTTATGACTTGTTCCCAAAAGGAAAGTAGCAGAGAGAATCACCAGAGAGAAGAAAACCTTTAGGTTCTACCTTATATGGGCTTTGGTTATCCTTGTCTCAGTTTTCTTGCCGACATTCACACCCTCTCACCCGCCCCTTGCCCTAACTTTCAGTGTCACCCTGTGTCACAGAACTTGGAGTGAGAAGAAGGCTTGGGAGTCCTCTAAGGTCCACACTTTTCTAAATAGAAATGTGGAAAGGTTAAATAATTTGCCTAAGTCATCAGGTAGTGTGACCAGGTAGTTTGCCATCTAAACTGGGACAATCTTGAGAGTGAAAGGAAGTGTCATTAATGTGATATTAATATTAATATTAATATACAGGGAAATAGTCATAATACAGGCCTGTTCCAGAAAAACAAACACATGGTCACCCTGTCCATAGACTATATACTGTCTTGTTGTGTATCCTTCCTAACAGTTTTCATTCTTTCTGACTGTTCCTTGCATTTCACGCAGATAAATGATGATATCAGAGGGAGAGAGGACCAGGTGGGAACTTAGATTGCTAGCTCCTGCAGAGTCAAGAGATCACGATCTGTTTATTGTAGGATCAGGGTGAAAGGTGACACATCATTCCCTCCTCTCTCTTAGGTGAAACTGTGGATAGAGAAAGTTAACCAAACCATGGTGTTCTGGGGACTGTTAGGGGACCAGGCTTGGCAAGGACAGGCTGGGAGAGTGAGGCAGGGGTGTTTAGCTATTCCCATCCTCATCTAGCTCCCTTCTCTGGCTTCTCCCACCAGTTGATGTGACCTTGGACCCTGAGACTGCTCATGCTAACTTAGTCCTGTAGGAGGATCGTAAGAGCATCAAGCTCAAGGAGACTAAACTCTGGGATCTCCCTGACACACCAAGGTGTTTCACCTTCTACCCTTGCATCCTGGCTACTGAGGGTTTTACTTCAGGTCGACACTCCTGGGAGGTGGAGTTGGGTGACAAGACCTGCTGGGCAGTGGGTGTGTGCCGAGACCCCGTGAGCCGCAAGGGCCAGTTGACTCCACTGCCTGAGACTGGCTACTGACTGGTGCAGCTGTAGAATGGGGACAAATATGCAGCCACTACTACATCTTTTCCCCTTTGCACATCAAGGTAAAACCCAAATGAGTAGGCATCTTCCTAGACTATGAGATCAGCACACTGTCATTTACAATGTAACAGATCGCTCTTATATCTACACCTTCACTGATACTTTTACTGAGAAACTTTGACCCCTCTTCTACCTAGAAATCTGGACTGGTCAGAAGAATGCTGCACTGCTTACCGTCAGGCCCCCAAAAGATTGGGAGTGACAGGTTAGGATGTGGGAATAACTGGGTTGAGACAGGGTCAAGTTATCTGGGCCTTCCTTCCTGTGTCCTGCTGGAAAGTCTTCATGTCTGCCTGCTTCCAGTCCTGAATCATCTTGGAGCAACAACTCGATGTTG